GAAAATTTCCCTTCGTGTCACTTTGTTTTAAATAAATTCTGTAAAACAAAATTAAAAAATAAGCAATACCAAACATATGACCAAGTCTACCTGAACTAGCTTACTTTATATATTTGCACAAAACAATTGTAATCATATTACTTAATTAGTTAAAGAGCTTAAGAAATCCATAATTTAACCAAGTGCATGGTGGCACTACTTTCCTCCAGTTCAGTCAAGAATTTTTCTCACCACATTATTGAACTTTCAAGAGCGCTACTACAAATGTACCTCTGCTAACATGTTGATAGGGCTATGGATGACACAACCATCATGATTTCATATGAAGGGAAACATGATCATGACAATCATGTACCTAAAATAAACCAAGTGATGGTCTTCATTCTATTGCTACTTCCATGAATCACAACTACATAAATGTGCTTTAATGAGTCCAAAAAATTCAGCCCAATTGTCAATGAATGTGGCAAGTGAGAAGACATCTGAACTTATATTTAAAAAGGCACTTTAATCTATTCGAACACTTTTAAGCATTGGAATTGAACTGAAACCTAGTTAATGACAGAAGAAGAAGAAGACATTGGACTCTAAATTTAGAAATTGTAAATTAGGGTTTTTAATGTTTTAATTGGGGATTTGTTCTAATATAGAGAAGAATAAGAAGATGTGTCACATGTGACAAGCAATATTGTTTACATGCAATTTGGTTCTATAGGATTTATATAAAATAAAATAACACGTAGATATATCACATGTGACAAGCACATACTTGGTTAGTTACATTTGAACAGAATGCATAAAGTGAAAATAAAAATTAAAAGTACATTGATAAATTGACATGATTTTTTGTACGTGGTATGAAATGTAAACAATATGAAAGTACGATGTTATAAATAAATATATTTGCAACGCTTAAAGACGTTGCTAAAATTCTTGATTAAGAATTTTTTTTTAAAAGAACGATTTCATTTTTTTTAAAAGAACGATTTCGTTAATTGCAACGATGGAAAACGTTGCAATAACTAACCATTAGCAACGTTACCAGA